GCCAGGTGGGCGGGGAGGGGAGGGAGAGCATGGACATGAGAAATTGCGTCCGGGGGCAGGAGAAGAGGAGTGATGGGGTTAAGGAGGGGCCGGACCGTCTCGAGGACAAAGGGAGAGGCGGCACGCGGTCTTGAAAGGAAGGAATTGACGGAGATCAGAATGGGTCACGGAACCCCAAAGTAAAATAAAATTTTGGAAGGAGGGCGACGGCCACGAGGGCGTGAACTGGAGGAGGGAGGTGACGGCGTGGCTGCCAGACAGCGAGAAGGAAGGGAGCCCAAGGGGGTTTAAAGAGGGAAAAGGGAGCGAGGAGGCTCTGGACTGGGTGTGTGATAGGATCGCTAAGTAGGCCCCCAGTAGTGGGAAAACTCATGACCACATTAAGACACGGCGAAAGAGCTTGGTTGCTGTCGACTTTCTTTCTTCTCAGAGCTCGTCCTTACACGCCTTCTTTCACCCTCCTCTCCCTCAACCCCTCCCTCCCTCCCCTCCTCAAGCCCTCCCTACATATCCCCCTCCGGCGATGTGCTTGCGCTCACTTCCTCTAGCAAAGAAGTGGTCTTGTCGGCAGCCAGGGTGGTGTGTACGACGCGTCCCTCCTTCTCCCCGGCCGTCAGGGTGAAGAACTCGACCTGATTTTTCCAAGAGAAGGAGAGGGGGGAAGAAAAATGGAAGGAAGAAGGGGAGGGGAAAAGAGATGATGAATGCGAAGGCTCCGTCGCTGGCCCGATGGCAAGGAGTTACGCCCTCCCTCCCTCCCATCCTCCCTCCCACCTTCTCCGCGGAAGGAATGGTGGTATCCATAGTCTTCAGAAGCACCTTCGCCGCCAGGGTCAAGCCCTCCTGCACGGAAGGTCTCCCCCCTTCCGGGTATTCATTCTTGAGCAGGCTCTTCCCCGCTTGGAAATTGGCGCCAATGGCCGTGGCGCTCCAGCCCCCAAAGGTGCCTGCCGGATCCGACTCGTAGAGTTGGAAGCCTTGATGCCTGGAGGGGGAAGGGCCATGGGAAGGGGGGGGGAGGGAATGTAAAGGGGAGGGAAACGTGGAGGCGTCTCGTCGGGTGGGGTACAAGCGTAGTGAGGAAAGGAGTGAGGACGAAAAAAAGGACAAATACCTGTCATAACCGGCGAAAAGGAAGGAAACACCGAAAGGGCGCAGGCCCCCGTATTGCGTATAAGCTTGCTTGTAGTCGCAGATGGACCGGACGAGTTGCTCCACAGGCATGGCTTCCTGGTACTGATAGAGATACCGTTGGGCAGAGAGGCGTGCTGCGGGAAAGACGGAGGGAAAGAGAAGAAAAAAAGCCAGATGGCTCCAGGTCAGTTGCACGAGGCTTTCAGGACGAGAAGATAATGAATGTCATGTGCAGACAGAGGCAAGAGGAAAAGGGCATAGGGGGGGGTTGAATTCGAGGGCACTCCGGCCTGATGGAGCGTACACATATACAAAGGCGCAGGCCGCTGATAAAAGGTGGTCAGCTTCCTTTCTGCAGGGTCGAGTATGATCGCGTCCTATGCATCGAAGTTTTGAAGTTCTTTGTTCCTTTTTCGATGTCTCTGGCGACGCACCTTGATTGATCAGGATGTTGGCATCGGAGGTCAGTCCCGCCACCACAGAAGCGATGTGTCCGTCGATCTGGTATATCTTGTCGCTGGACTTTGAGGGGGCCAAGAGCTTGCTTGTGGTCTTTCGCTCCGCTGCCAAGACGATGCCGTCACTGCATAAAATGCCAACGCAGGTACCTGCGTTGTTGATAGCTTCTATGGCATACTCCACCTGGTGTAGACGGCCTGTACGTCCCCCCCGAAGGATAAATGTCGTGGAAAAGCCACCACCGATATTATGAGCAGTCATTCTTTCAACGTGACTTCTCGACTTGTACGTAGAATGACTCGGAGGGAGAATAGGGAAAGAAAGGACACCAAGCTCAGAGGGCACTGAAAGGGCAAGTCTGATCGGAGACGGCAGAAAGTAGAGATCTTAATGTACCTTCGGGTGAGAATGTGGTCGTCGACGAATCGTAACGCCTCGCCATTGCTGCGAAAAGGCTATATAAACTGTAAATTGTTGAATATAGGGAAACTCGCGTACATGAAAACGCCAAGGAAAGGAGGAAGAAGCATTTCGTCTTCCATGCTTTGAGCGAGCGGGCAAAAAGCGAAGCATCAAGACATCCAACAGGTTGAAAACCACGCAGCCTCGCGTCCACCCAGCTGCACCAAGCTGTTATGCACATGGAAGTGCTTGAATCGTGATCAACTACGCCATCGGACAGGCTCTTATACTTGCTTTTGTTGCAAGTCAAGCAAAGAGGAGCTTGCCCCTTCGTTCCACGTTTTCGAACCCTTCCTTTAACGTTTCGTACACACCCAAAAAAATGGCAAGAAAAAGGGAATTTGGCGTCCCGAGAATGGCTTCTGCATGTACTATGCAAAATATTTGTAACTGATGTCCCACGGGGTGTTTGCTGGAACCACAACTATTGGAATGCGGACTTTTCCAACCACGTTCGTTCACGCACCCTGTCCGAGCTCTTTGACATTTTCCATGTCCATGTTATAAGAATTTGGCATCAAATAACAAGCGGCTAATGAAAAATATATCGCTGTCCCATGTGTTCAGGGTTTTTTTTTTTTTCCATACCTTAATCTTTCGCGTTCTTCTGTCCTACCTCCCCGACAAAAGCAAATTGACGAGAGATGATGAATACTGCTGACCAGTATTGCCAAAATCACAGCCACTCATTCCTGTCCCCCAACAATGAACGTCGCTTAAGTTGACTGTACGTTCAAGGCTCGGTCGCGCTTTCTCATCGTTAAGGCTCAGAAGTTCATTCTTTTTGCCCGAGAAGGCCTTTCTCACTCCCTTGCTCTATGTACACTATCCACACGAAATTTAGAAGGGCAGGGAACCCGATCTCTCCTACAAGACGAGGATCCAAACTATATGGGCTTCCATGCCAGTACCCGGTCTGTAAAAGTTGTTTGCGCCTCCGCGCTTCGGCTGATTTCTTGGCAACTGGTCAACTCAACTCCTCATCCGTCAACATCATGTCTGGTATGCCCCCTCGGATCGAAAACCTCCTCCCGCTCTCTGGGCACACCAACGAGCCCTCCAACACGTGCACGTCGAACAATGCCTTGTGCAAGGCCCTCAAGAAAGCCTCGTCCTCTCCCAATGTCGTGGAATAGGAGGCGGGGAAAGCTGCCGCATCTAGCCCCAAGTCTTCCGCAGCCGACCGCAGCCCTGGGAAGGATATCGTCGGTAAGAGATGCCGAATGAATGTCAAGTCAGGCTCTGTGTCACGGACCTGCGGGAAATGGGCGGGTAGGTGGATGCATCAAGGAGAGATCCCCCAAAGGCTTGCCTCGGGGACTTGCGTTATGGACGCATGCACTGGGAGAAAGAAGCCGAAGAAAACTTTGTTTTCGACCCATTGATAGTCTGAAAATGCTACATTTCCTTATACCGGAGCACGTACGTCAATTTGTGCAGCTTCGATCTTCAAAGGGTAGCCATCCACCACGCCCTTGGCGGTATTGCGGAGGACATTGTGGCTGAGGAGGCGCATCAGGCGGGACGCTTGTCAAGGCGAAGTGGTAATCGAAGTGGGTCGTTCCTGTCGCGTGGAAAAGGCGAAAAGGTGTGACATACATCACGGAGAAGCATAAATTAGCTGTGACAGACACCGCAGGCTCTCCATTACGTTGGGCCCCGACTCCTGGTATCATAATTGCTGTTTGTCGGGTGCCGGCTGGAGCCTCTGCCACCCTGATTCTCTGAACTTCCACTCAATGGAAACAAATATCTTCGCAGCCCCCTATTCACACATCATGGGTTCATGGCTGGCAGTGAGTGAGGTATATCGAAAATCATTTTTTCTGGGTGGGAATAACAACACGCCTCGCCAACCGTTGGCAGCGAAGGTATTCCTCCTAAGCAATTCTTGCAATTATGTCTGCCTCAGTCTAGCAGGTAGTTTAAATAGGAATGAAATGCACACTTCCATCCCCCCTGCTTTTTTAAATAAGACAATTATTTTCGGCTTTTTCCATGTTCCAATCTTCTTTCCACACAGTCTTTTTACCTGGAAAGCTTCCACAGGGGAGAGGAGGGAAATGACCATGAACGCATCCGAGGTATATGACCGTCAGATTCGGTTGTGGGGATTAGAGGCACAAAAACGCATGCAGGAGGCGCGGGTACTGTTTTGCGGATTGCGGGCACTGGGAGCAGAGGTAAGACTTTGCTAAGGGTGCGTAATCGTCAGGAGGTTACAAAGGGATGAAGAAAAAGTACGGGAAATTACGTGGAAACGCTTCCCGGGAGATATGAGTATTTGCTAGCAAGATTCTGGGTGGAGTCTCGGTAAAAAATATAATAAGTAAAGTAAAAAGGCGAAAGAAGCACATGATTTCCCACGTTCCTCTTGCCCTCTTTCCACGCCGTCATGCGACGGGGCAGATCTGCAAGAATGTGGTATTGGCCGGCATCAACGTCACCCTCATGGACGCCGAGACGGTAAAACCGGAAGATTTAGGGGCTCAATTTTTCCTTCGGCCGGAGCACGTAGGCATGAATGTAAGTGCTTGCAATATGGGGAGGAGAGGCCGGGACGACAACCTTAAGGTCGTCACCGCGGGCTCGTACCTCTGGATTCCAATCGCCTCCTTTCCTTCCTACCCCTCACAACGCCCCTGTCTCCTCCCTTCAAAGCGTGCCGAGGCCTGCCTCCCCGGCGTCCAAGCGATGAACCCCCTCGCCTCTGTCGCCTGTCACCCCAGCGACCCTAGCGCCTATCCAGACAGCTTCTTCGTCAATTTCGATGTTATCGTCGGCACCGACCTTACCCCCGCGCAGATGCGGCGTCTGGATACTCTGGCCCGACAACGAGGGAAAGAAGGAGGGCGGGAGGGGGGCGGGTTCATTTGCGCGGTTACTTTTGGGCTCCACGCCTGGGCCTTCATCGACCTCGGCGAGAGTTTTACTGGCCGGATGGACGAGGCGCCAGGAGGAGGAAGGACGGAGGGGAAGAATGGAGAGGGGGGGAAAGCTAAGGTAGGTGCAAGGAAGGAGGGAGGCGTGGGCGGTGGATGCGAAGCCCAAGACAGTGGCAAGTAGACCTGTT